AGTAAATGTACTTAGTTATTTTCCAAAACTACTGTGTTGTTGGTGTGGACTGTAATATAAAAAGGTGTTTCTGTGAAAAATGACCTGGGAGAACTGGGAGATCCTTTGTCAGGAGCCTTACATATATAAGCTTTAGCTGTACTTTAGTATTTTGTCAGCATTGTACAGTAGCTGAATAAACCTTTGTGAAGTTAGGCCTACATTGCACTACCTGCAGTAATTTTTACAGTGCCTTGCGAAAGTATTCGGCCCCCTTGAACTTTGCGACCTTTTGCCACATTTCAGGCTTCAAACATAAAGATATAAAACTGTAATTTTTTGTGAAGAATCAACAACAAGTGGGACACAATCATGAAGTGGAATGAAATTTATTGGATATTTCAAACTTTTTTAACAAATAAAAAACTGAATAATTGGGCGTGCAAAATTATTCAGCCCCTTTACTTTCAGTGCAGCAAACTCTCTCCAGAAGTTCAGTGAGGATCTCTGAATGATCCAATGTTGACCTAAATGACTAATGATGATAAATAGAATCCACCTGTGTGTAATCAAGTCTCCGTATAAATGCACCTGCACTGTGATAGTCTCAGAGGTCTGTTTAAAGCGCAGAGAGCATCATGAAGAACAAGGAACACACCAGGCAGGTCCGAGATACTGTTGTGGAGAAGTTTAAAGCCGGATTTGGATACAAAAAGATTTCCCAAGCTTTAAACATCCCAAGGAGCACTGTGCAAGCGATAATATTGAAATGGAAGGAGTATCAGACCACTGCAAATCTACCAAGACCTGGCCGTCCCTCTAAACTTTCAGCTCATACAAGGAGAAGACTGATCAGAGATGCAGCCAAGAGGCCCATGATCACTCTGGATGAACTGCAGAGATCTACAGCTGAGGTGGGAGACTCTGTCCATAGGACAACAATCAGTCGTATACTGCACAAATCTGGCCTTTATGGAAGAGTGGCAAGAAGAAAGCCATTTCTTAAAGATATCCATAAAAAGTGTCGTTTAAAGTTTGCCACAAGCCACCTGGGAGACACACCAAACATGTGGAAGAAGGTGCTCTGGTCAGATGAAACCAAAATTGAACTTTTTGGCAACAATGCAAAACGTTATGTTTGGCGTAAAAGCAACACAGCTCATCACCCTGAATACACCATCCCCACTGTCAAACATGGTGGTGGCAGCATCGTGGTTTGGGCCTGCTTTTCTTCAGCAGGGACAGGGAAGGTGGTTAAAATTGATGGGAAGATGGATGGAGCCAAATACAGGACCATTCTGGAAGGAAACCTGATGGAGTCTGCAAAAGACCTGAGACTGGGACGGAGATTTGTCTTCCAACAAGACAATGATCCAAAACATAAAGCAAAATCTACAATGGAATGGTTCACAAATACACATATCCAGGTGTTAGAATGGCCAAGTCAAAGTCCAGACCTGAATCCAATTGAGAATCTGTGGAAAGAACTGAAAACTGCTGTTCACAAACGCTCTCCATCCAATCTCACTGAGCTCGAGCTGTTTTGCAAGGAGGAATGGGCAAAAATTTCCGTCTCTCGATGTGCAAAACTGATAGAGACATACCCCAAGCGACTTACAGCTGTAATCGCAGCAAAAGGTGGCGCTACAAAGTATTAACTTAAGGGGGCTGAATAATTTTGCATGCCCAATTTTTCAGTTTTTTATTTGTTAAAAAAGTTTGAAATATCCAATAAATTTCGTTCCACTTCATGATTGTGTCCCACTTGTTGTTGATTCTTCGCAAAAAATTACAGTTTTATATCTTTATGTTTGAAGCCTGAAATGTGGCAAAAGGTCGCAAAGTTCAAGGGGGCCGAATACTTTCGCAAGGCACTGTATGTTCTTACACCATGCGACACAGAAACGAATGGGCTCAATAGCCTGTGTTGTTGGTATTTTGGACAGCGCCAGGCTAGCAGTTTCCCTCTGCTTCCAGTCTTTATGCTAAGCTAAGCTAACAACACCCTGACTTGGTGTGTCTACATTTTAAATGAGCTTGTTAATTGTGAGCTTTCTGAGCAAACTCCGGTCCAGCTCTGTGTTCGGAGTTGGACCGGAGCTAAAGAGACAGACCACGTGGAGCTGCTTCAGACTTTATTAAACCAACAGACAGACCAGTGCTGCTCCTCCCTCGCATCTTCTGCTGTCTGGGAGCAGATCCCCTGATAAAATGGTTAAGTCCTGTTCAGACGGTCATCTTTGGACCAGAACCTGAATGACCAGTACCCTCATTAAAAGCAGAGTCCAGGCGCTTTGATCCTCCTCACAGAGTCCATCGCCAGCGGACAGTCTTAAAAAATGCATAGAAGACAAGGACCCGCATGCCCTGACAGACGGCAGGCTAGGGGCGGGGCTAAAGGGCAGCGCAGGGGGTGGCGGTAATTGTTAGTGTTGAGGGTGTGCATGTAGTAAAATAAGCTTTAGAGGATGACAGTAGGATGAAATGGATGGATGAGTAAAATTCATCATGTGTTTGTTGCTCATTTTTACATCTTTACATGTCTCAGCTGACTGAATCAGCTGACTTCAGGAATTAAACCTGTCCTAATGAACAGGGATGTAGTTTTTTGGCCTTGATCCTGTTCTGTCTAGATGCTGATACAGAGTCCGGTCTGATAGCTACGTTCATGCCACACCTGAAGTTTAATATTAGCAGGACAAAGGCAATGAACGGAGAAGGTGTAACAAGAACATTTTTGGTGTTTAGCTTGAAAAATGACAAACAATTAAGCAGTTATCAAAAGAGTTAAATGATTTTCTATGAATTATTTACTAAACATTTCACACTGGAAACACAGTGGTAACAGTATGAGGACTGAACAGGTGGGAGACCAGAGGGCAGGGACAGCCTCAGTATCCAAATGTCACACTCATTGGAACACATTAACTTATGCTCAGTGGTCGGTTTATTAGGAACACCTGTGTCAGTCTGTTTCAGAGCTGATTCGTGATGAAGGATTTACTGCAGGACTGTTGGATTAGACTAACTTAGTTTGACATAGGTGTTCCTAATAAACTGACCACAGTGTTTTTATGAACAGACTGGTAAACACAGTCATTCATAGGTAACTATGCAAAACTAATGTTGTAAAATAACTGAATGAACCTGAACCATGTTTCACTAGATTCAGTTTTTATCTTTACCTTTAAGCTGCTCCTCCTCTTCAGGTAGTACAGATGGAATTTAGTTCTGTAGCCTTCAGTGGCTGTCCACTGTCCCCGTCACATAAAAGGTTTTCAGATAAGCTCTTTCTAGTAAACTGTGTGTCACAGTTGTTTTGTTAAATACCAGTTTATGTGGAAATGTGTGTGCACGGTTTCTGGCTCAGCCTGAAGCTCACAGTGAATCTCTATAAACCCTATTAATAATTAAGATACAACCATTAGTGAATGATTTCTAATTGTTCTTAGTTTGAGAACAAATGAGACTCTCCTGGTTTGTCTTGTCTGAAGTCTGTGAAGTAACAAAAGAAATGCTGCAGTTTTACCTCTGCTAATGAAAAACAAATCCAAGACTCGAGCTGCAGGCAGGAACACTGGGGTTAAAGCAGCCGAGCACTGTTCAGGATGTACATAAGAGACAGTGTGCTGCACTGAAGCCGGTGAAGCACAGACACACAACATACAGATGATAACTGAGTGGAAACCCAACCATCGGGGTCACTGATCAATCAGCTGATCATTGTCCTGATGATCTGATTGATCTGTTTATCCCCAGAATGTCAGACACTGGGAAAAAGTCCCACTGTGACTCTCCAGAGCCAAAGGTGGCGTCTCCACACGTCTTGTTGTGTCCAACCAGCAGATCCACAGAGACTCAGCTGATTCTCATGTCTGACAAAGAAAAGCATCAGCTCCTCACATTAAAGAAGGTGGAACCAGAACATGTCGGTGACTGTTGCTTCTAAATAGCTGAGGTTCATTTTCTACCAGTGAACTGACTCATGGCTGCAGCTCTAGGTCACTGAATGGCTTCATGAGGACGACACAGTGGGTTGGACACAGAGGGTCGGACACAGTGAGGGGATTTGGTTTGGAAGGAGGAGGTTTCCTCCTCCAACAGAGGAGACCTGATGCTGCTCTGGAGACTTGGCTCTGACGAGGCCCTGCTGGACACTGGGTGGTGGTTTGTCACCAGATGTTATGTTCTTCATCCATCAGAAAGAAGCAGCAGACTCTGAATCTGCTGGGAAACATGGAAAATGTTCCTAAAACAACACTGTGTGAACTGACCACAGTTCTGACACTGAGTGGACGTTGGAGCCACATCGGAGACGAGATGGAGATGCATTATTTTGGCCGTATCTACAGAAATGGTGTGTCTGATGCCTTTGAACAATGAAGCTGTGAATCCTCAACTCAGACAAACTACAAGAGGCACAGCCAACTCGGTGTCTCCTGTGAAGATCTGATGCTTTTCTTTGTCACACGGTGGTGAACTGAAGTTATCTGGATTTTGGACTGTTGGCTGAACAAACCCAGTTGGCATAGATCACCGACTTATGCCACAGTTCTGTTTCAGGAAGTGCTGTGGCTTGTGATGTGAACTGATCCTCAGCAGTCTCAGCCCAAGAGCTGCTCCTTATAATTCTGCTCATAGTTCGTTATCCTGCTGCATAACCTCATTGTGTCAGGGTTTCTGGGTC